CCCCGAGGGGGCCCCCGGGGGGGCCCCCGGAGGACTGGCGTCTGAGTGCATGCGAGATATTAAAGGGGTACTGGAGGGCTCTGAAGGGTCTATAGAAATGGGAGAAACCGAAATTGGAAGAGAAGCAGCACAAAGAGGAGATAAGCTGCTGCTGCTGCTGCTGCTGCTGCTGCCTAGGCCCTTCCAGCGGCGGCGGAGGCCCTCGGCCCTCTGGGCGAAGAACAAAGGCTGGGGGCCCCCCTCGCCGTCGGACATGGGGCCGCAGCGAGGGTTTAGGGTTTAGGGTTTAGGGTTTAGGGTTTAGGGTTTGGGAGTGCGGGTCGCCTCGCGCCAGCTCCTGCCGGCGACGCCCACGCAGCCAACCGCAGCCGCAGCCGCTAACGCAGCACCCACACTCTCCTCCAGGTGGAGGGTTTGGGGTGTAGCGTTTAGGGTTTAGGGTTTAGGGTTTAGGATTTAGGGTTTAGGGTTTAGGGTTTGGGGGTGCCGGCTCAGGCGCTGCTGCTGTAAACCACCACAAACGACTCGCGGCAAAGAACCGCTCACGCGCCTCCAAACGGAAAAGGGGGCTTTGCTGCTGACTGCTAGGGTTTCGCGTTTAGGGTTTAGGGTCTACGGTTTAGGGTTTAGGGTTTAGGGTTTAGGGTTTGACGGCGTAGGGCTGTGTTGCGGCGGCGCGGTGGAACGGCTTAGGTGTATGCGCAGCTGCTGCCATTGCTGCTGCGGTGTCCGTTGTCTTTCTGAAATGCATTTCATTAAATTAAATTATATTAAACCATTTTAATTCATTTCTTTTTTAATTTGCTTTTTATTTTCCCTCCACAGTTTCCAATTCAGCAGCAAAAACTCCCCGCTGCATCCCTGATCTCGCTGTCTGGGGGCCCCTGGGGGCCCCCCAGCCTTGCCAACTTCGGGGGGCCCCCTTGCCATTTTAAATATTTAATTTGCTGCTTTTGTTTTATTTTCTTTTTTCAAACAAATAAATTTCAGACAGCAGCAGCAGCAGCAGCCACTTCGGGGCCGCTGCTGCTGCACGGGCCTCGGGAGTGGGTTCTCAACTGCCTGGGCAGCGTAGCTAGCTAGCCAGCTAGCTAGCTAGACAGCTAGCTAGGCAGTGGGGAGCTAGCTAGCCAGCTAGCTGCACAGAAATGCATGCAGCTAGCCACGGGGCGGGCTGGGGGGCCAGCTGTGACGCCCGCTAGTCGGCCAGCAAACAGCTAGCTAGCTGAGCAGCAAGCTAGCTAGCCAGCTAGCCAGCTAGCGGGGCAGCGGCTAAGCAGCCAGCTAGGCAGCTAGCTAAGCAGCTAGCCAGTCAGCTAGCTAGTCAGCTGGCTAGTCAGCTAGCTAGTCAGCTAGCTAGTCAGCTAGCTAGCCAGCTAGCTAGTCAGCTGGCTAGCCAGCTAGCTATACGGCTAGCTAGACAGCCAGCTACACAGCTAGCTAGGCAGCTAGCTAGTCAGCTAGCTAATTCTGTAGCTTAGGCTGGCCGGCTGCTGCTGGAACTTTGGCTGCAAATCTGCGGGACCAAATGAAAGAGAATTGGGGCTTTGTGCTGCAGACACTTTTGCTGCTGCTGCTGCTGCTGCACGCGTTGGTCCCCTAGCGGGTCTCTAGTTACTGTGTCCCTTTGTCTCTCTCAGCAGCACCAGCAGCGCTTTTGCTGCTGCTGCTGCATCAGTGCCCTTGCTGCTGCAGCAGCAGCAACAGCAGCAGCAGCAGCAGCGCCACGGAAACCACAACAACAGCTTAGCTCCAACCGCAACCTAAACAAACATAAAACAAGTTTGGGGGGCCCCCATAGGGGGCCCCCTGGGGGCCCCTGTGAGCCCCCTAGGGGGCCCCCGGGACCCCCAGGGGGCCCCCGGGGGCCCCCCGCTGTGGGGCCTCGCGGCGGGGGCCCCTTGGGGGCCCCCCCTGAAAGCCCTGGGGGGCCCCTAACCTAGGGGGTCCCCCGAGTCTCCATTAGCCATTTGGGGGGCCCCGGGGCCCCGGCAGCGCTGCATTTAAAATGTGGAACTTGAGACAAAAATTGTTTCGGAGCTGGGCCGAGGGGCCCCTGGGGGCCCCTGGGGGCCCCTGGGGGCCCCTGGGTACCCGGGGGGGCCCCTGGGTACCCCGGCGGGCCCCTGGGTACCCCGGGGGGCCCCCTGGGGGGCCACCAGGGGCCCCTGGGGGCCCCTAGTACTTGGAAACATCGACTGCAGAAGCCATTTTAGTTTTGAGTAAACCCTTGGCGAAGCGGGACCTGAGAAGCAGCTCAAATAGCTAAACCCTAAACCCTACAGTCGCCAAACCACTGGGTTTACGAGGGTTTAGGGTTTAGGGTTTAGGGTTTAGGGTTTGGTGGCAGCAGCCCTACTTGCAGACGTCGCAGGAGATTCGCTCTTTGCCGCTGTCTGAGGTTTCCGAACAGTAGACTGCACCCCAACGCGCAAACCCCAAACCCTAAACCCTAAACCCTAAACCCTAAACCCTAAACCCTGACCGCAACACCCAGAACCCGAAATTCCAAACTTCAAACCCCAACCCCAAAACCCAAAACCCCAACGCCCCACTCCAAGCCCCAAACCCTAAACCCTAAACCCTAAACCCTAAACCCTAAACCCTACTAGCAAGGCAGCAGGAGCAGACAAAGCAGAGGTCGACGGGTTTGTGGTGGCAGAAGCAAACAGCAGTGTTGGTTTTGTGGTGTACAGACACTGCAGCAATTGTGGGGCGCAGCGAGGGTTTGGGGAGAAACCAAAACAGCAGCAGCTGCAGCAGCGCGAAGTCTCCGCGGAGGGTTTTGGGGCCCTTTGCTGCTGCTGCTGCTGCTGCTGTTGCTGCTGCTGCTCCCGCGCTGAAACACTCCGCGAAACTCATCCACCGGCCCCGCGTCACGTCGCACAGCTGCTCCAGCAGCGTCTGCAGCAAACCCCAAACTAGGGTTTAGGGTTTAGGGCTTCGCGCTACTCAGCCGCCGCCATCCTTGCCAACGCCCGCGAGGGTTTAGGGTTTGGAAATTAGGGTTTGGGGTTTGCGCCTCAACGCGAAGCTGGGTCAAGGGCCCACTGCAAACTCCGAGGGTTTAGGGTTTAGGGTTTAGGGTTTGCGGCTAGGAAAGCCAAACACCTACCGAGCAGTCGGGAAGCAGGGAGCAGCAGTCGATGGCAACGCCCTGACACAAAACAACAAACCCCAAACCCTAAACCCTAAACCCTAAACCCTAAAACCTAAACCCTAAAGCCTCAAGCCTATTTCCGGGCCGGCGCTTTAGACTCCGTGACACTGCCGTCCGCTGGCTCCACGCCGCGAGCAAACCTCAAACCCAAACCCCAAACCCTAAACCCTAAACCCTAAACCCTAAACCCTAACCTGTTTGCTCGCTGCGAAGGCAGTGTTTAAGAGAGGAATGCACTGAGCAGCAAAACCCTTTTTGTCCGAAATGTCCAGCAGCAAAACGCGGCTCTCAGCAGCAGGGCCTCCGCCCCTCCAGCGGTGCACGTCTGAACCCCAAACCCTAAACCCTAAACCCTAAACCCTAAACCCTAGCCCTGGCCCTGGCCCTAAACCCTAAACCCTCGGGTCCCGAAGCTGTTTGTAGGCAGACAGCAGCAGCAGCAGCACCCGCTGCAGTAGGACGGCAAAGGGCCTGCAGCCCAGCCCAAACTAGGGTTTAGGGTTTAGGGTTTAGGGTTTGGCTTACAGCACAAGGCTATTGAAAGGGCCCCGGCCAGCAGCGACTCGCCTTCCATGCGGCTGCTCTTCTGCGGCGCTGCAGCAGCAGCAGCAGCAGCAGCAGAGC